GGCGGATATACAACATGTGGCATTTGGATGTTATTCTGATTTATACAGCTTTTACTACAGCATATATAATATATTATATTATATGTTGAAGTCACATACTAGTCCATGAACGTGTGGGACTTGGTCTCTTCTCCGCAATCACCCCCTGATAGACAAAGCAATCGCTGCAAAAGTTCATGGAAAGCATCATCAACAAAAGCGGCAAGCTTCGAAGTCTGATCAAAGATCTGACCAACAATTACAGCGTGAACGAGACCACCACCTCGTTCCTTGTTTCAGAAAAATGTTGGTTTGTTTCCTGTTGACCATTGTGTGCCCAAGAGTCAAGACATTGGCGTCCAACATCTGGCAAACCTCCGGGCCCAGGTGCTTGAAGAACCTCAAGGAGCAGGTCCTCTCCCTGGATCAGGAGTACGATTCGTGCCAACTTGTTTGGGGTGAGGGTGAGATTAATGATTTTAAGGAAGAGTTGCTTGGCAACAAAATCCTTACCTTACCAATTTTTGGAACTGCATGTCTGCGTTGGTTCTATCCGATTCTATCCCATGATGTCCCACGCTATCTTCTCTCTTATACTTCAGTCTTCAGTATACTACACCTCATGGCTGGATGGAAGCAATCTCAGGTTCTACAACAAGGCGGAGTCTCGCATCAAAGCATCGACCCTTGTGTCCATGCCTCAATTGGTTTCCAACTCACATGTTTCTGAATTAATACTCCCTCCACCAGTCCCCGCTACGCGCATAAGGTGCTCGAAAGCCGCAGCTACTGAGATGAAAGTCAGGACGGATAACGCTTTTAATCATTCAATTTGATACTGCAATGCTACAATACCATGGATGCTCATGCGAACTGGGTTGGTTACAAGTATGCCTTTTCCAAGCCCCCATTAATTCATCTTCTATGCGCTTCCCCCTGCCAGGAGTGCCAAGAAGTTCTTCGATAAGTCCAAGGACTCCAAGGGGAAAAGCCACCGGTCTGATCGGAGTGAGGCCGCCGAGTCAGCAAGGAAGAGGAAGACTAGGGAATCCGAAGCTGAAGAGCCGGATGAGAAAAAACAGAAGAAGGAGAAGACTAAGAAGGAGAAGTCTTCGAAGGAGAAGACTCCGAAGGAGAAAACTCCGAAGGAGAAAGCTCCGAAGACTGCCAAAAAGTAGGTAGCTTCTTCATTTTAGCATTGGGTCTGCTAGACACGTCCATCAAACTCCAAAGTCAATTAACATGAACTTGTGACCTTCAGTTCTTTTTTACCTTTGCAAAGCGCAGAGATGGCAAGGTGTTGTCTGGCATTTTTGTTAGCTGCTTGATTTCAAGCAGAAATTAGACTGATCAACCATCGGGCTTACCAAGAGCATCGATATGCGTGCGCGTGCGATCATGCGCTGCTAGTGGGGTTCATAAAGGGTTGAGGAATTGCTGCAACTCATGTGGCCCCTGAGATTTCCAACTCAAAGACTCTTAAATTTTTGATTTGCCCCCACACACACACATGTGTCGATCTGTGTTGCAAGAAAGTCTTGCTTGCCCTCCCACCGAACTCCGGGCCAGTTGCTAGCGCTGGCAACGTGGTCCGCGGGCTCAACAGCGACATTGGCAATGGAGCAGGGGCCTCAACTGGTGAGATCTGGTAGGAAGATGGGGGGACGACCATATTCTGGGGTATAAATGTCATTATGTTGCACGCAGGCTCAAGTAAACAAAGGCATCAACTATATGGCCTGCAATGCACTATAGCCCTGATGGAGAGTCCCGAGGATGAGTTGCTAGAGTTGTTTACATGTCACCGATCTGACTCTTGGCGTTAATTCAAAAGAATGGTTTCCTTTTGCGTATAAACATGGGATCATAAAGGAGCAACCCCCTCTATGAATCGATTACGGTTTCATTGTTTAAAGCCAACAATTGAAAGCAAGGATCGTGATGTGCCCTTTCCATGGACCCAGCCCAAACTCGTTGATCAAGGGGGCCTGCAACGCAATGCACCAGTGGAAAGTGGTCCCAAGACCTTTCAAGAGTTTCAATGCGCCCCGGACCTTTCTGAATTGAGACGAGCTTGTGAACCTTTGGGGTGCATAAGCTTCAGGCTTCCGAGCGATGGCATTACGGCAGGAAAAGTTCTACACCATTGCATCGCTGTGTTGGAATCGTTGTTTGGATCGCAAAGTCCACTCATCTTCAAGCTTGGGTTTTGCCAGAACCCACATTTGAGATGGACGAATCGTGTCTATGGCTACTCCCGCGACCCTGCAAAGTGGGAAAAAATGATTGTCATGTACGCTAGCAAGGAACCGTTTTCCCCAGGAATGCTTGAAGCTGCGTTGATTGACAAGTATGGAAGCAATCCGGTCGCACATGGAAAATGTTGGCATCTTTTTCATTGTCAAAACTTTCCTCCATCCTTTTGGTTTTGGTGGTTCCCTCACTATGTTGTAACTGCCAAGTCACCTCAGGCAAGCCAGGATGCCGCAACATCCGGTCAGGGGGCGACACTGTCCAGACCACATGTTCGACCTCAAGCAGTGCAGTCTTCATGACCTATGTTGTATATAGATCCTTCAAGACACCACCACCAATTCCACCCTTGAGACCATAAGTGTTTGCTAGGGATCGACGGCTTGACAGCTTCGAGGAAAATAGAAAGAATGGCGTGTGCAATTGACAGTGAGCAATGTTTCAAAGACTCCTGCAAAAATCAACAGAAACAATTTAGAGATTGAAAGCATTGATGTGTCCACTTCATGCAGAACACGCGTACATGTTGTATAAACCTGCCTCACCCCCCCGATTAACCTACACAACCAGTGTGCGTTGGTTGCGCTGAGGTCCCATGTGCTGGAGCTGTCCGTACAGCTCGAAACATCGTCAAAGACTTTGGGAGTGAAGTCGCGTCAAGCTCGGGGGGGCTTGGTGGAGTTGGCAAGCTGCAGCACAAAGAATTCCGAGAGAGACACGCACAGACTTTTAGTTAACAAGCTGAAGCTGAGCCTCGACATTCCAAAGACATTCCTTTGCACAAAAGATCCCACACTGAAGGTACCCGTGTTGCGTATGAGAGATTGGGTTGCACATTTGTTGAAGCATAACTGTTGGCATGTTGTAACAGGGCTGTTGTCACCGGACCGTCGACGTGAAGAAGCTATTTTGCGTGAGTATTGGAGGCGCTTCCAAAAGGTGTCTCCAAGTCATCCAATCTTCCAGTTGGAGCGTGAAGGCAAGATAGTGTTGGGTCGGACTGCACCCTGCGTTGTCCATGGAGACGAAGGTAGGGGCCGCAAGAGAAAACCCTGCATGTGCTTGAACTTTCATTCTCTATTGGGCCGTGGCATCAAGCCGGCCCAGGAACTGGCAAAGAAGAACAAAGTGAAAAAAACAGTACCTCAAGTTGAAGCCGAACTTTGTCGGGCACTCCTTCACTCATAGATTTTTGCTTGCAGCATTACCCAAGAAGTTCTACACTCATAAAAACGAACACGTGTGGGAACAAGTACTGTCAAATATCAGCAATGACATTGTGCACATGTACACGGAGGGCGTTCCTGACCAGCACGGTCTACAGCATTGGGTTATGGTTTTGCATGTTGTGGGCGATTGGCCCTTTCTTGCCAAGTCTGGGTTGCTTGCAAGGTCATTCATGAACGTACAGAAACGAGTGAACAGCCAGCCCGGCCGCGACCAGGGTGGGGTGTGCCACTTGTGTCTCGCAGGCACACCACCCTTCCCTTTTGAGGAGATCCATACCCGCCACCCAAAGTGGCTTCCGACGCTTCACCAGGAAAGTCCCTTCAAATCCAGACCTGCGTTGCTTTCCATCCCGCACCCTGCGGGACAAGCTGCATCGATTTGGGCATACGACCTATTTCACAGTTTTCACCTGGGGGTCGGACGCAGCTTTTTGGGAAGTTGTTTGGCACTTTTGTCGGAGCGTGAACCTGCTGGAGGAATCGACGAAAGATTTTCTCTGTTGAGCGAGCGCTACTTGAGTTGGTGCCGCGCCAACCATGTAGTGACACAAGTGTCGCGAATAACAAAGGAGTCAATCCAGTGGCCAACAACCACTGTGTATCCTACAGGTGCTTGGCACAAGGGTGCCGTGACAACAAATTTGATGAGCTTCTTCGAGGACCTGTGTCGAACGGAAGACTATTCAAGCGAGCCCTTGTTGTTGAAAGCTTCTGAGGCTGCTCTAGCCATCAACTCTTTCTTGAGGTCTTTGTACACCAATGACTTATGGATTGAGCCCCGGGAGGCGATCACTCTTGGAGAACTGGGAATGAGATTCTTGAGAAGATACTCCGAATGCGCCGCCTTGGCCTACAGGCAAAGCCGAGCTTTGTTTGTATTGCAGCCCAAGCTGCATGTGCTACACCATTGCTTCATCGCAATGATCCAATTGGGCCAACAGAACATTTCAGTTCAATCACCTTTAGCTCTGTCGGTGCAGCCCGACGAGGATTTCATAGGAAGACCCAGCAGGCTGAGCAGGCGGATTACAGCACGTGGTTGTGTAATTGAAAGACTGTTGGATCGCTACATGCAGGCCTGTTTCCAGGAATGGGTATCAGCAGGTTTGCTGATTCGACCGGTGGTTTGAGTCAATGGAGAAATCGAAAAGCATCGACTGTTTTATAACCAAATTGTCAAACAACCATATGAATCATATGCATTTTCTGCTTTAATTCCAATAAGAAGTGGGCAACACTCAGGCCGCGGCGGTTCGATCCGAGTTCCAACCAGCGCTCGTTCGGGATGAGCAAGCAAAAGGCTTCAAGAAGGGCGGGGCAGTCTCAAAACATACGTTTGGTCAGTTTCTTGGAAGCTCTGAAAATAGAGCATTTTGAAAACCTCGGGTTTTCTTAGAGAACCTCGTGTTTCTGAGGAACCCTACGTTTCTATCGGGTTCGGAGGCTCAAGGTATATATAAATAATATACCGTAAAACTATCCGTTATAAACTAGTATCGTCTCACCCCCTGGCACGGGGAGACCCGCTCGGCTAAGCTCCTGTTCATGACTTTCCGGATGCCTTGCCCATCCACCTGCCAAGCTCGAAGCGAGGGATGTCGGAGTCAGGCTCGGCTCGGCTCGGCTCAGGCGGCTTCTGCTTGTCCCATCCAGGTTCATGTGGATCTGACATCGGGGCACACCGGTATCTCCGTAAGCCTCGTCCTGTGACTCAGTCCCTAGGGCTTGTCCAGTCTGACCTGGTCAAACCTGGTCAGACTGGGCTCCCAAGGAGCAGTGGTCTTCTATGACCAACTCCAGAATGAGATGAAACTGAACTGTAGGGGATGGTTTGGGGTTTGGCTTGGCCCAATGTGCTCTTTGAAACATTGCAGTATAGTGACTGCCTATGATTTCTCTCAAGCGCAGATTGAACGGGCGATCCAGGCTGATCAGGGCAAGACTTGCGGAGACAGGACACACACCCCACGATCCGTTGCACTGGCTATGGCAGCTATGACTGTTGCAGTGGGGGAGGTCGGTAAAGGAAGGTAAACCGGTAAACCAAACAAAACAAGCAGGAATCAAAGACACAAAATGCAAAAAAGCAGCCTTGTTTTCACCCCAACGCTTACCGCTGAGCGCGGTATTCGTCGCTAGACTGAACGGCCCGTCTTTGAACCGCCCATTGTAGGCTTTAATGGTCTGGAGCCGCTTCGTGAATTTTACACAGCTGAGAAACATCCGATACAAATCAAACATATTATTTACACAACGGTTGGAAAGTGGGCGCAAATGGTTCGTATATAGTGAATGAATGATCTATGATCTATATCAATCCAAGCACAGCAATATAGTCCACATATCAAAAACGACTGTGGGGATTTTACCCAAGAGTTTTCATCTGGCTACAGTATGTAAAACACGTTCCTGCCTGCACACAGGGCAAACAAATGCAAAAAGTAAAACATATGGTTGTATATTGTTGTTCTCACCTGTTCAATAGATTCAGAAAAAATCAGGAAAACTCAACACTCAACTGTGAAATCCGGGTGCATGACGAATAGGAGATCCTGATCCAGTGGCCATGGAGAAAAAAATTAAGTGAAATCCTCTTGAATGGCTCCATCCGCGGAAGGAGTCGACACCAAACGGGTGCAACTCACTCCTGAGGTCATCTTGCCTGCGAGAGGCAGACATGAACTGAATCCATGTGGTCATCTGGAAGAAAAGCACATCATAGGGTCAAAATGGGTCAAGCATATCAATCAATTGACCCTTCAACTCAATCTTGGACAACATGTACCAGTCCTTTTCGGTGTCGGTGCCATCACGGTGTCCCAACTTCTAGCGGACCATCTCGAGCTTGTATGGTCTCCTTTTCGGACCCAAGCCATCCTTTCAAGCACTGCGATGGCACAGGCATTTGTTCGGAACGAACGGAGACGAACTCACCCGACGGCCGTCCTCAAGAGACCTTCGCCGAACCCCACGCGCTCGTTGGCGGAGATGAAAACAAGATCACCGTGACATGAACGTGATGGCGACATGGTGGCACTCGCCACTCCCAAGCATCCACATCCTTCACAACACGACGTTCACCTCTGGTGAGCGTCAAGCGGAGAGTGGCGCCATGCCTGCGCCTGCGATAGGGCCCAATGCCTCAGCTGCAGATGTACTTAGACTCCGGAAATCACATAGACCCCATGGCACCCTGAAAAACGGTTTTCCTCTAGCTGCACCAGTGGTTTTCAGGGTTCAGCGGGGTAGATTCTCCCTCGCAGCTGAAGCCCAAAGATGCATCGAAGCAAGCCATCGAAGATGTGCCAAGGAACATGTCCCTCCTATGTAAGTGGATCATTTGACGGGGATTCGTATAAGGTTGTATATAATAAGTGAGGACTTGGGCAACAAGCGATCGAGCTGCGATGTTCTTATAAGAACACACATCACATCACGTCGGGTGGACGGACAACGACGCAAGTGGATGCAAGTGGAACATTCCCTACAACGTTTGGATGTCGATCAACACTTGTATTTTACTGTTCCACATCTGATGTTGAGAATCGACACAGCAAAACACTACAGTGAACCTGATCAACTTGTATGCTCAACCAAACCAAAACGGTTCAGATGAACCTTCCTGCTGTTCATGCCCTGGCCCGACTATGACATATCCATGCATATATATATATACATATATGCCAGTATATCTCATCTAGCTGATATGTTTTATCTTTCAGCCTGACCCTGAGCCCCCATGTTGATGCATCATTACGTTGGAAAGTCCCTTCCAGTCAATGCCGGTCTCTTGCCATTTCATCGAACAAAATCATGGGATCAGAACCCTTCCTGTGCAAGATGATCAGCATTTATCAGCCCTCACAGATCCAGATACCCCCTGAGAAAGTGATTGGAGACTCATTAGGATCACAGAGGCCTGGCAGGGTCCGATCACAGAAACCATGTGGATCCCCGCTGCATCCAAGCCACTGCTGCGCAGCCGTCGCCCCCCGCTCCGCGGCGGCGAGGCCGCGGCGCGTGGCCAGGTCAACGCGGATCTCCGCTTCCAGCTGTGTGGTTTCCACCCTGGTCACTGACTGTGGGTTTGGCGTGGGCAGCAGTGATATAGTGGCTAGCCATGGGTAGAATGAACCAAATGAACCAGTTTCGGGTTTTCTTGGACATGATTGGACATGGCCTGGGTTCCGCAAGTTGGACGGCCGACAGGCGTTGGGGCTGCAAACCTGTTGAGTTCACCCAAACCATCCATGTATGGAATAGGCTATGCCTACATTGATACCTAAAACCAGCTCAATGTCCGTAGATATGCCAGTCCCATGGATTGGGGGGCTGGCTTAGGAGGACGACCAGCCTGTGGTAACTCGTCCTTCACTCCATCGCTCACACCCACCGTGCGCCTCGTCCGTCCTTCCGCGTGTCCCTGGTGTGCTCCCGCCTCTCAGCTGCTTCTGCCTGGCAGCTCTCCAAGAGTTCTTGCAGCTCTTGTAATTGTCGCAGCTGCTGCTCATGGAGTGCCTGTCACGGTGCTGATCAGGGTCCGTGACAAAGGGCGCGGCTAGTAGGGAGGCGGTTTGGAGCCTCACGAGGTGAGTAGAAGTTGGGCACTTTAGTTCTCTTGTAGGTTGGTTGATGACTGTGAGGGGCTTCTGTTGGAGGTGGTTTCTCAGATTGGAACAAGACCTACATCAACGAATCAACTTCCTTCCTTTTGTTGCAGCTCTCCCTTGAAGCATCTAAACGTTTTCGGGAAAGCTTGACTTTCCACAGCTCCGGCTCCGTCTGAGGTTTGGCCTCTCAATCGTCGCGTATTGCCACGTATCGCCTCCCTTGCCTTCCAATCGTTTTCCCAACTGGATCTGCGAAGGGATTCCTTCAACTTCAACCACTTGACCCACCCAAAATCAAAATCCGCACAGCAAACCGGTGAACAGGGCAACCAAGGGCGAACCGAACCAAAGCAGTCTTGTTCTCTGATTGGCGTCATGTCTTTTTTCAGAGATTGGGGAAGGTTCTGGAGTCTTGCTGAGCAAATTGAAGCTTAAATACGAAACAAATCCAACGCTCGTGGCGGTCCAATGCTTCAATTTGACGCTTTCAGGGTGTTTCTTCATTTTGTTCTTGATGTTGACCCTCTGGAGCAATTTTTGACCCTTGGGTTGTGCTCTGCCCTGGATCATTGACAACAGGGCAGTGAAAGAAAGAAGTCATTGACCCCAGCCAACTCCACAAACACAACTCTTGCAGACCTGGGTCGTCAAGACCTAGCTAGGCGCTGCAAGTTGCAAGTTGCAGGAAAAACATATATATATATATATTATATACATATGTAATACTATAATCATTTGTATACATATGCATATACATATACATATACATAGATGTTGAGGTCCTGATTGCTATCTGCATGAGCTACGCACATGGCACAGGTCCTGATTGGGCCCCTCAACAGGCCTCCATACCCCCCCCCCCACTCAAGGACCGTCTGCCGGGCACGCGTCCGGGCACCTGTGTCTTGGCGTCTGCCTGGGCCTCGGCCCTCTTCACTTGGCCTCGGCGCTTGGCAAACGGCAGTGACCCAGCGCTGCTTTCCGGGCAGCTAGGTTCTTGGACTCAATATGCATTCTGCCGGTACATGTCTGTAAGATTCTGTAAGGCAGTCCTTCGTTCTGAGAATTCCACATTTGGGACGGCCATTCCAACAGAAGAATGCCAGTAAAGCATGCTCGATCACGATTTGTCCATAGTGCTGATGGTATTCCGAAAAGATCGGATCGGCGTCCACAGCAGGATATGTGCTACAGTCTTGGGAAAACTGAACGTATACAGTAACTTATATGGATTCAAAGACTATATAGATTAAAGTATAATATATAATGAACTAACAATAGATACAATATGATACAATCGATTGATATTGATTGTCCAATCTACAGTCGCCGGCAGTGAACCAATCTTGTCCAGAATCTAAAGTGTGTCCAACTCTCTCTCTCTCTCTTACATTGGAGCTTTCCATGAGCACGAACACACCAGTGTGGGCCACTTCTTTCGACCAACACCGGCAGAAGCGACCCCAACACCACCGCCTTTGAAGGCCTCCCATGGTACCGTCTTTCAACGACCGTCGAGCGGCGCTCGCTTTGGAGCTGTAGACCTCGGTAGCGGCGCTTTGGGGATCTCATGACATCGGTCTTTTGGGGTTCACCAAGCACCAATCTCGAGCTCGACCTCGAGGTTGGACCAACCACCCCAAATAGGAGTCTTGTCCTATCAAAACAGGGGTCAAATTGGTTCTAGGTATATATATATATATAAATATCAGTATACAATCCCCGTAGTTTTGCAAAGTTTGGCCTCTAAGCCCAACTGTTTGGGCAAAACAGACTGTGGTGGGTTCGACCCGAGGGAAATTACTCAGAACTGTCCTGCAACAGATCGGTCAACCTGTTTGGACAAAACAGATCGGTCACCTGACGCGACCTGGAAGGCCACCCTGACCCCTCGGGGTGACCCGGGAACGGGTCTGGCGATTCGCGTACGACGTACACTCCCTGGAACTAACATGGTGGAGAGG